TCAATCAATCAATCAATCAATGTGGTGCTGAGAATTGAACCCAGTGCCTCACACAAGCCAGGCAAGCACTATAACACTGAACTATATAACTCCAGCCCTCTACTTTATTTTTCTTTAAGCCACTTATCATCATAACATTATGGGAAACTTCCTATGATAAGTCTTTCCTTCCTAACAAACCACTCTAAATCAATGGCTAAATGATACAATGGTTTTTCATTCCACATTGTGAATTGGCAGGGTGGGTCTTCAAAGCTGGGTCAGGTCAGTTTGGGCTGAATGATCTAGTATGGCCTTACGAGGGTCTTAGCTGGGATGGTAGCCCTTTTATTAGCCCTTTTATTCCTCTGAAAGAAAGGCTGGTCTTCTTCACATGATGGTTTCAAAGTTTTAACAAGGTAAGAGCTGATGCAATGATTCTGAAGGCTTAGGCTCAGTAGTCACACAATGTTATTTCTGCTATACTCTACTGGTCAAAACAAAGTGACAAGGCCAATCTGAAAGGAGCTATGAAGAACTTGTGGCCATGTATAATCTACCAAATTACTTACCTGTTGTCTCTTCCAGTGGAATATAAAATCTGTGAAGGCAAGGTATTTAGTGATCTTGGTCAATGTCTAGTACATTACCTGGCCTACATTAAGTACTCAAAAATATTTCTTGAATGAAAGAATGATTGCTTACATGATATTTTTTCCAGACTCCTGACAACCTTGTTGGTTTCCTCTGAATACCACATAGTGTATCAGTATTCAAAATCTGGTATCCAGAAATAGACACAAAATGTGTGAGATATAACTGCCCAGCTCAATACAGTTGGGTAAATACATGTTAACTGAATGAACAAATGAAAGACAAGTACAGAAGATTGTGGTAATACCTTGACTTTTAATAAAGATACTATATACCTTTTAATGCAGATTGAGAGTACATAAACTTTTTAGCAGCTTTTATATTGTTATTATAGGCTTTGAAATCAACATACACCCATGACTATTTTTTCATGTGAAACAGCCAAATCTCTGTCCTGCATTTATACAATTGATTTTTGAGACCTAAAAGAACATTATGTCTATCCCTGCTAAATTAAAGCTTTTCTAAATCATCAATCTCTCTAGTTGATCATTTCCAATGACACACAAACCACCCCACTCAAAATTATGCAATAAGCTTTTCTATATTTAAAAAATAAAAAGCAAAAGAAAACAAAACAGCATTCCTCCTTTAACCC